CTCCATATAAAAAGGATAACAAAGGGGGGTGTGCCAGCCATTGAGACTGCCTATTGGTTGAAGGCACCCACCACCAAACCTGATGACCTGGATTCAGTCCTGGGAATCCACATGGTGAAGGGAGAAATTGGACTCCTGAGTTCTGTCTTACGACAGTGGTTCTCAACCTTCCTAATGCCACGACCCTTTATTACCCCATGATGAGGTGACCCCCAACCACAACATTATTTTGTTGCTACTTCATAATTGTAATTTTGTTACCGCTATGAATTGTAATGGAAAGATCTGATATGCAGGATATCTGATATCTGACCCCATGAGAGAGTTCTTTGACCCCAGAGGGGTCATGACCCACAGGTTGAGAAATACTGTACTGTGGCCTACTGTGTACCACGGTGCACCCTTCCCCCCAAAATAAATAAGTTTTATTATTTTTTTTCAATTCTGGGTGTGGTGATAAAGGTCACAAGTTTGAAGCCAGCCTGGGATACATAGTAAGTTCCCATCTCCAACAAGCTTCCAACAGGAAGGACATAAGGAAAAGTATAATGTAGGTGGGTTAATCACTACACTTTACCATCATGTGTCACACTGATTTTTATTCATTTTATTATATGACAACATGCTACACTTTAATCATTTTCATTGTACTACCCAGAGTCTCTCTCCCTCTCTCTCTCTCTCTCTCTCTCTCTCTCTCTCTCTCTCTCTCTCTCATTCACTGCCATCTCATGTCTAGAGAGAAATTTTCAAAACCTCCTAGTGGCAAATTAAAATTCAAGAAGTAAAGCAAAAGCCAAGGTTCCCCTGCAGTGAGTTCTCTAACAGCAGGTTTTACTTATAGTGAATATCACTTTACTGCTTTTAACAAACTTCAAAGAAAATGTTGTAAAGCCATTCATTCTACATGTCTGTTTCACATCAGTCACAATTAGGTCCCAGCCTCACTTCTCTCCCCTTGTTAGACCTCATAAATCCTGGGACTAGAGTCCCGAATGTGGATCACATTAGGGGTCGTCAGAAGTGGCCTGATAGATACGAAGTACTTGAGGTCACCCAGCCTGGCACATCCAAGCCCAAGCTGCTGAGAAGGTGGGTTAACGACCCCACCCACCTCAGGGCCAGGGATCCGGTACACCCGACATGTAGGTTTCCAAAGCTCTGTTAATGGTGCCTCAAAGATGGCATTGTGGCAGCCAGGAGTAAAATGCTACCGCCTAAGAAATGCCTACTGCCCCGTGTCCCCAGTGAGGGAGATCCTGCCAGAACCCCAGCCTCCTCTCCCCTCTGCATTTGCATCCTGCACAGGTCTGAGTTCTGCTCCTACCCGTCGAAGGAACCCGGAATAGAGATGAAATGGCACCGAGGCCTCTCTGGCAGCCACTTCTCCCATCCCTCCCTCCAGTCATGACCCTTTCTTCCCAGGCTATAAAGTCAGGGAAGTTGCTCATCAATGGGGAGCAAATTTTTCTGTTTGAAAAATGCAGTTAAAAGACAAAAGCTATATGGCTGAAGAAAACAGACTCCTCGTTGTACGTGAAAGAGCTTAAAGGGTTTATGATTATCACTCCCATGGCGTTTATAAGATCACTGAGACTTGGGTCTGCTCATTTACCCGGCCCTGGCTGCTGCTTCCCACGTGTGGCTTTTTTTCCCTGATAACCCGTTTTATTCCCTTAGAGGCACCAACACTTGTTAAGAAAAGAAAAAAAAAAAGTATTTTTCTTTAATAGAAACATTTCCCAAAATGTCCCACATGCTTGCCAGCCTTTTAAAGTAGACTTTCTTGACATAGAATCTAGCCTTTCTTGCGGTCAGGCTATGATCTGCTAAGGCAGAGGAGGCATGGTCTTGATGGAACTCTGATTCAGAGCGTCTGGGTTCATACAACGCCTAGTGCTGCCATATCGGCCTTGAGACTTTGGGCAGTTGCAGATCCCTAGCCACCACCACGCTCCATCCACAGACGTAGGATAGACCTTCCTTGCCGGAGGCATGCGGTGAGAGTTAAGCGACTCCCTGCTTATTGAAAGTGCTTCCGATGGTGCCTGAAAGATAATGAGTGTTTAACAGGAAAAGCATAGTAAAAAAAATGTGTAATAAAATAAAATTAATAAGCAAAATTCAAGGGTAGTAAAACAGTAATAAATTAGTGTATGTTCTGCTGTCACAGAGAATGGCTTCAAAGCCCAGTTGAAGCACAACTGATCCCACTTAAATGGCCTGAGTATAATGCTTTGCTATTATGCTGAGTCCCTTATCTCTGCATAGTTCCCAAACTTCCTTTGAACAGCCTATTGCATCTGCCTGCTCACTGGGGTCAGCGCCCACCTGTGGAGGCATCCATTCCAAAGTTTGCTCCCAAGAACCTGTGCAACAGGGAGCAGACACAAACAAGTTGGGCAGCAGTATTTTTAAACTTTGGTATATTTATTTATGGAGGGGGCATAGAGGACAACTTTCAGGAGTGTGCTTCCTCGCAGGAGTGTGCTCCCTCTTTCTACCATGTGTGGGTGAAAATCAGGTTGTCAGGCTTGCTGGCAAGAACCCTTAGCATGGGAACTATCTAGCCCACCCAGGCATTATTTTTAAGCACTTGGGCACCAAAGCACATGCCTGTCTCTTATCCCAACTCAGACAGATGTGGGAGGCTCACAAGTTCAAAGCCAACCTAGGCTTTATAGTGAGACTCTATCAGACAGACAGACCAACAGGGAGGAAGAGAAGGAGGGAGGGAAGCCAACGAGGGAGTTTTTGGTAGAACACACCTGTAACCTCACTACTCGGTAGGCAGAGGCAGGTGGATCTCTGTGTGTTTGAGGGCAGCCTGGTCTATGGAGTGAGTTCCAGGACAGCCAAAGCTACATAGAGAAGCCATGTCTCAAAAAAACCAAAACAACAACAACAACAAGAAGAACAACAACAAAAAAACCCAACAAAAAACAAACAAAAAGCATGCAAAGTAATGGATTTCCTTATGGCTTTTTCAGAAAACTTTGCTTTTATAGGTGCCCTACTCTCTCTTCCCAGTCCCTTCTCACTCCTTTGGCTTCTTGCCTTCCTCCAGTAGCTTCCCCTCTGTCATAGCTACAAAATGGAAGCAGCCTAGGTAGCTCTCAACACATGAATGCGTAAGAAAGGTGTGGTGCATATACACAATGGAATTCTACTTGGCTGGAAAGGGAAGTGAAATCATGACTTTGCAGGAAAATGGATACAACTGCAAATCATTATTCAAAGATGTATTTTTTAAGTATGAATATATGAATTCTAAGGTGTGACTTTAGGTAGCCCTTTCTAGCTTGTGACTAAGCATTCTGTTAGTCAGGATGGTCTAGATTCGCTATGGAAACAGGAAGTCCCTGTACTTGAGAGGACTTAAGAAAGCAGAAGGTCAGCAACTTGTGTACTTTGGTCTCATGAGGGCTCTATCCAGCATGGACACTCTGGTGCCCAGGCTGACAAACTCCATCTCAACACATGTGCTTTTGATATGTGATCCTCTTTGGGGAGGCACGTTTTGTGTACAAACTATTACAGAACATTGGAGGTGCTATCTAATTCAAGGGAGAGGGTCCTTGGGGGTGTGCTGTAGACAAGTAGGTCTTGTTCTCAGGAGGCCTATTTCCTTTTCTTTGTAGATCTTGTTTTCTCTCTGGTAGTTTGTTGGTTTTTTGGTTGGCTTTTTTTGGACATGGTTTCTCTATAGCTTTGGAGCCTGTCCTGGGAACTCGCTCTGTAGACTAGGCTGGCCTTGAACTCAGAAATCCCTGTCTCTGCTTTAGCGGGCTGGGATTAAAGGTGTGTACCACCACCACCAGGCAAATACATCTCTTATTTATTTATTTCATCTGCATTGGTATTTTGCTTGTATGTGTGTCTGTATGAGGGTTTCAGATCCCTTGTAACTGCAATTATAGACAGTTGTGAGATACCATGGTGCTGGGAATTGAACCTGGGTCCACTGGAAGAGAAGTCAGTGCTCTTAACCAATGAGCCAGTTCTTCAGCCCCCCTCTCTCTGGTAGGTTTAAAGGTTCACACTTAGCAGGCCCTTAGTTTCTTTTTTTAATTTGAGGACATAGGGTTACATAATAGAAACTCTTGATTTATCTCCTTCCTTGCCTCTTATTTTTTTTTAAACCCATCTCAAAACTCTTCACCAATCAATAGAAGACTTTTGTGTTGAATTCTGAGTGATTTTCTCAGACTTGCCTCCCAATTCATTTATTCTCTTACCAGTTACATACACATTATAGTCCACTGATTTCTCGATCATTTTATTTCAATTACTAAAACTTTAATTATTACATTATCTTGCCCAGTTTTTGTGTTATTTTTCAAAGAATCTTTAATTATGATTTATACTCCCCTGGCCTTCCTTCACATCTGGGAATATCTAGAGCACCCTGACCCTTCTGGATTGTTGTTATTTTGAGGTGAAGAATCTCTCACGTTTCCTATCTGTTGGCTTGTTTCCTTCTTCTTTTCGGTTTTTATAAGCTCATCTTCATGGAGACTATGTGAGTGAAAAGGAGCCTGTGGAGGTTTCACCTGCTCTAGGCCATCTCTGGAGGGGATTTACACTTATCAGTCATGAACAATAAATATTCTACAACGGCTTCTTACTCTGAGATCCCTATGGCACAAGAGACAGAATCCAGGCCTTGCTGCCTGCTGCACGAATCTGTCTTTTTGTGAGGTGAATCTTGCAACATAGCTCAGCAATGTTGCAAATGTCTCTGACTATCTTTGGTGCTGGGTGGACAGTTTGATGCTTAATTCAGGAGACACCAGATTGGCAAGTTAGGATACCAGGCTTCAGATGGGCAGTTTTGTCCTGGCTCCCAGAAACCCCAGGGCTCAAACTTTCCTCCTCCAGGGTACAAGGCCCTCAGAGCCACATGCCTGAATGGTGCTTCTATTTTACTTCCCTTCTTTAATCTGTCCCTGAAGATTTTCTTTGTATCTTGAACAAGGATTTTTCCTTTCTTGACTTTGAATTTTAAAATGTATTGAAATGAGGGAAGCAAATAGTTTCACCAAAATATATCTACATGTGAAGTTTGTGTTTGTTTTTGTGTAAGCTTAAACGGGCGTATTTTAATGAGGTCCATTGAGAAGAATATTTTAAATGGAAAAAATGCACAGGGCTTGGCAACTGATCACATGCAACTGCCTAATATTATATCAGAGTATGGAAAGTCCCCGGATCCTTAAAGATGGAGCCTGGCTGGCAGAACTGTCATGGGGTAAATGCCTTTGAAGGTTTTGCCCACTTCTGTTCCTGTCTTGCTTTTCTCTGTTTCTCAGTTGGCTGCCATTCGAACAAGCCACCTTGACAAGCTGCCACTGCCAAAAAATGAGCTTCTCCCAGTGCCATGCCTTCTCTACCAGGGTGGACTGAAATCTCTAAAACTGGGAACCAACATAATCCTTTCCCCCTAGAAGTTGCTTTTGTCAAGTAATTTGTCATACCTATGAGAAAAGTAACCAATATTCCTTGGTTTGCATTCTCACTTCCTAACACAAAGATTTTAAGATGAGGACTTGGGAACAGGTAAGTAATATGGGAAGTGAAAAAGCACCAGAAGGGACAAGGGACATGAGGAAGTCAGACATAGGAGGGAAGGCAGTATCTTCTCAGCTTGTCCTGCCTCCCTGATTAGGGTCACTGAGGGAATAGAAAGGTCAGACACTAAAGAAGCAACAGATGTGTAGATACAGGTATAGAAAAACTGAGGTGGCCTGTGTTCACTCTGACAAAGCTGCACCTACTCTCAACACAACCTGGAGCCTCTGTGTATTTACTATGCGCAGCACACACAGGAGGTGTTAGCAGTCTCAGGTGGAGGGCTCTGTGGTCTCCATCCTATAGTAGATGGAGACTCCATCTGCAGTGGCTAACTTTTGCACACACACTGGTCAATAACCAGTACACCGTTTTGCTTGGACAGAGGAAGACTTTTGCCAATTTCAATGGGTCCTGTTCCTTGGTCTTTATCATGGCTGTGCCCATGTCAATAATGCACATTCACTTAGGACTTCACTCCCTCACGGCTTCTTGCACTCCCTTAACAAAAAGTGTGATCAGTCCTGTCACTATTTTGGGAAACTGGAAGCTCAGTCCTGGAGAGACTCTAGGAGTTCATTTATCCTACCCAAGGTGTGAGGAGGTACTACCCATAGAGGCTACTCTACCTCCATGGTAGACGGATACTTTTGTAAAATCTGCCATTCTTTCTAGCACAACATCTGGATGGACTTAGTTATATAGAGAGATGCAACAAAGTATATCAAAGTTCAGTGACTTAGCACAGTAATGAATACACACTGTCCCATGCAGTTTGTGAGGGTCAGAAGTCCTGGGATAGTGCCTGCTGCTTGACACTGCATTGGAGTTCCTCATGAGGTTGCCAGGACTCTTCAAATATGAGGGCTTAGCATGGGCTGCATCTGCTTCTGCATAAGACACTCAAATGGCTGGGCAGACAGAGCTGACTGATGCTGGCCAGAGGCCAAATTCCTCAGCGTGTAAAACTTACCATTTGACTATTTGAGCATCATCTCCTGGAGGCATCTGATCTACCCCAAAGTGAGTGATGAGAGTAATGTTGGGGCACAGGATCTATTATGGTCTGGTTTCTGGAAGTCAGTTCCTCCATCACACTTTGTCTGGTATGAACAAGCCAAGTCATGAGGTCTGGGCCACATTTAAGACAGAGTGAGGGAGGGATGTTAAAGAATTTGTGAATATACATTATTTTCACTACCACAGCAAGCAAGTAGGATCTTGGCAGCCAGAGACAGATCTCAGGCAAAGACAGACCTGTGGTTGTGGAAGTCAGGTGGGCTGAGGGGTAAGAGTAGGGGATGGGTGGAGCAGCACTGAAGAAATAAGGAGAAGACAAACTCATGCTTGAAGGTAAGAAGTCCACCTCTCACTGGATGACTTTGCAAGCAGTGTAGGAATAGAGGCCGGGGAGGTATTGTTTTTAGAATCAATCTCCTGCAACACTAGGAAAGAAAAGGCATGGCCAACTACATTGTTATTGTTCAAGGACTTGACTAAAATTCATCTTAGAGTCAACAGCTTTAGTACAAAGATCTTCAAAGCCTCACACAGACAGTTCCTTGTTACACAAGCAGACATCTCTAGCCTTCTGTCCTATGTCAGCAATGTCATTAAAATAAAAGACATGGAGGAATACATCAGACCATATCCCAGAAGCTGAATAAGTCATTCAATTTCTCTTGGTCTCAGTTTGCACATCTATAAAATGGGAATTGAGTGAGGCCTTACTCTTCTCCCATAGGGAATTGAAAAGTGGATGGTAGTTTTAAAATTATAATTTGAACCATGAAGTGTCATTGGTGTGCAGAAGCAGCTATTAGCCTCACAGATAGCATGAAATAAAAACAAGCATTTTAAATCTCATATGGCGGCATATATCTGCAATCCCAAGAGATAGGATGGAAGAATTGGAGTTCCATGTCATCCGTAACTACATGGAGAATGTGAGAGTTGAGTTACACAAGACCCTGTTCATATGAAAGACAAAGTGAAAGTTCTTTATGGTAGTAATCAAACTGAGGTAGTAGGAGAATTGGGTGTGGTCCTCTATAAATGCTCCCTGCTCATAAATGAATTGAAGAAAACACCAAGTTAGCCATGTACCATACAGTAACATGAACACAGGAATGACACAGACCTTGAGGGCTGATCTAGCACTGGTTACTAAGCACCCTTGGCCACTTCCCAGTAGTGCTTACCAAGCCAAAACACAGACACAATGGAGCTTCCATCCAGAAAAATCCAGGCTGCCATTTGAAAGCTGAGAGCTCCCAAGACAAGGAAATGACACACACCTGGGCAGGTCTGATGTATCTTCCTTTTTGTGGAGGGCAGTGGAATTCATTCCTGGGCCATTCATCATAGTGCTAAAATTAGATCCTGCTTAGAAGAAATGATATATTACTGATTACATAATAAAGATAGTTATAGTTCTCATGAGAAACAGAAGGGAGAGATATATTTAGGCATAGGGCAAATATATCCTTGATATGAAAAATGGATTCATTAAGTATTTAATCTTTATACCATTCCTGTGAAATAAATGCACACATACATCACATGTGTTTTAAAATGACTTGATAATTAATATTGTTACACTTGAGAGAAATGCTGGCTTTTCATCAGGAAGTCATGAGTTGAAAGACTGTAGGCTGAGGGGAGCCCTCTGTCCGACTTGCAGGCAGAGGGGCAGTTGGAGATTTGCTTCAGGGCTTCTCAGTGTCCTCTCACTTTGCTAATCAATCCCAAGAGTCACCAAGGTCCTTTTAAAGTACAAGAATATTTATAAGAGTCATGGGATAGTAGCTGGAAAGATTGCCTGCACCAAAGGGCATCTACTGGTTGATCACAGTTTCATCTTTTCCTTAACAGCCTCCTTCACACCATGCCCTATTTCTCTCTATCACCATTATCAAATAGGGAAAGCCTTGCATATTTTAAACCCGTAGTAAAGACACTTCCAGTTATTCTGGCTTTAAACAGACATGGGGAAGTTTGACTGTCTAACAGAAAGGCAGATTGGTAGTCAGTCCATGGATCTCAAGGGTCAATAAAAATAAGTCTAGGTGAAATCAAAGGGCAAATCAGCCTAAGAATTATAGCTTTGAACACAATAAATTATTTGAAATGAATAATGGCTAGGAGGAGATACTAACAAGTTCTGAGGGGTTAAAAGTTCGTTCCTTGGAGATGGAGAGATGGCTCAGTGGTTAAGAACACCAACTGCCCTTCCAGAGGACTTGGGTTTTTAGTTAGTTGTTAGTTAGTTAGTTAGTTAGTTAGTTAGTTACAGCTAACAACTATCTGTAACTTCACTTTCAGGGGATCCAACTACCTCTCTGTCCTCCAAAGATTCTACATGAATGTGGTGCACAGATACACATGCAAGAAAAACACCTAACACATAGAATTTAAAAGAACTCCACCCCCATACTCATTCCTTACAGGAGGAGGACAAGGCTATGGGATCAGAAAGGGACAGTAAGATCTCTGGGTGTGTGATTTGGGGTAAAGAACATGACTTCATTTGATTGCTGCTTCTTCATTTATCCCTATTAGAAAATTCAGGCTACCCTGATCCTCTGGGTCAGCTGTGTTGCATGAATAGCCTCTTTCCCAGTGCTTAGAACAAACAGGAAGACAGCAAATACATGTTTCTTTGTTATCCATCTCCTTAAGGCTATCTGGAAAGGGTGTCCTTAAATAGTATAGAGTACTGTACATAATATATGTACACTGATAGAATACTGCAGCATATAGTATATATGGTATGCACTATAGAATATATAGTACTAGGATATATTACATATATAAATTTACATACTTTATTAAATATAATTCATTTTTCTTCTCTTAGTAATGAAAAATTTGTTTTTCTCTACTTTATCAGGCTAGATATTAAAATTTTTTCTCTTTTTACATTTTCATGCATGTGTATTATGTACATGTATGCAGGCATGTTTGCATGTATGTCTGAGCATGTTTGCCTGTGTGCCAGTGTACATTGAGGCCCAAAGGCTGATGCCAGGAATGATTCTCCTTTACTCTTCTGCTTTATCTTTTGAGGCAAGGTCTCTCAGGCAAACCCAGAGCTTGCCCATAAAACTAGCCAGCTTGCTCTGGGTATCTCCACCCACCTGACATTTTATATAGGTTCTGGGCTCTGGTCCTCAGACTTGCAGGGGAAGTGTTCTAACCATTGAACCATCTACTCAGCCCTGTTGAGTGGAGTTCTAGAGTACTCCAGGTAGTCAGGATAGGTCAGACTCTGCTGCAGTAAAAAGCAACACCCAATGCTCCCTGGCTCAATATTTCCTTCAAGCTTCATGCCCAATGAAGAGCCTGATGACTGTTCTCAATTTTGTCACTGACAGATCTCTAGTTCCATGGTAGCTTTTGAAGCTACCATCACAACATGCCATGCACTCTTCACTGTGGGAGGGTGGTTTATCAGAGCTTCAAAGAGGAAGAGATATATGGCATGGCCACTTTTTCCTCAGTCCACTGTGGTGCCTTAGGGGACTTAGAGAAAGGAGTCCCTTGCCATGGGCAAAATGGTGAGTAGAAGTTGAATGCACCAAGTACAGTCTAATCCAGAGAGGTTTTCAGTGGCTCAGGATCCTTAGCTGCTGCCTTGCTTGCCACCAAGGAACATTCAGCTCTGTGCATGGGCTACCAGCCTCTGGTGGTACCTATGTAAGCCTGGTCTCTCCTCCAGTTCAGGCCTTTGAGAGACACTCTGGGGTTAATGATTGACACTTCTAAGCAATACATACCTTGCTTTAGTTGCATCCAAATTCCCAAACTTGGAGGCTTTCTAGTGAAATGATTGTTAATTTAGCACCAGACACCTTGTTTTCACTTCGGATCAAAGTGAACTCTAGTATAGCTAATGTTCCCACAAATGCCCAATGAGTAAATTATTGGCTTCCCCTCTGAGGTTGACTGATTGCCAAAATAGGCCCCATTTTCCACCCATTCTCAGCATTCAGGCCTCCTGCCATGAGCCCTCACCAGGCTTCTTGCTAAACGGGAGGAATTGATTTCTCCATGAGTCAAAGAGGTGGTCAATGCTTTATGAAGGTACTCACATGCAAGGATGCTGACCCCACTATTGACTCAGTGGCAGAAACCTCCAGCCTGGGGTGACTCTGGAGGGAGACTGCATCATGATGGATGCTTAGACTTGTTAGAAGTGGGGACACTTCTACAAATGTGGGTAGCAAGATCTTTACCCTACAGGTGCAGCCAGAGCTTAGCCCAGGAGGACAGGAGATAGCAGCCCTGTGGGGTTTGAGGAGAGGGTGCCTACAGCATCACCAGGCTAAATGGATGCTGGATTGAGGACAATCAAACTAATTCCCGAAAACATTGACAAATTGATACCTAAGGTCTAAAGTCAGCTGGAGCTAAGTGAGACTCAGGACCATACAGCTGGGGACAGCAGGAACTAACAACTCTACAGAAGGGAGACAATTTTCCAGAGGACACATAGGAGCCTTCCTGACCCACTGGTTCTCAATGTAGTAGGATTGCTCATAGTGTGCATTACAGTCAGTTCACATGGCCTGGGTTGAGAAGCACTTGGCTAGTGTGCCTACTCTGAGGGCTTCCTTCTGAACAGGACCCTACATTTGCACTTCTAAACTTTACTCTGTGGAGGTGCCTCACTGCAAGGAAAAAAATAATAGTAGCCAGTGTGACCTTTTGGAGAGCAGCTTTTTAAGTTACTAATTACGCACAGTCATGTCTTGGAGCCCAGAAGGTGTGTAAGCAGTGGCCTTGGTCTCCATCCTTATTTGTCATGCATTCCACAGTAAAATATGACTCACTGAAGAGACAATGTGCAAGATAAACACTGAAAACACAGAGGTAAAGGTGCTTTAAAATACCTTACAGTGGCTTAAAAAGTGACAAACTATTGGCTTGTCAGTATGGTTTTAGCTATTCTCACCAAAGCCTCTGAACAGGGAAAGAGGGAAGGAAGGAATAACAAAGAAAAAAGAAGTAGGAACACTAATTAGGGTTGTTTATTACCCAAAATGATGAATACCTCAACACCCCAAGAGAAAAAACTAAATACAACAAAAGAAATCTGGGTCGGGAGTTAAATATATTTCAAAATGGAACAAGGCTGCTGTTCCAGACAGTGTTCTGGGAATGACACTGCACTGTCTTACATAACATTTGTGAAGAATAGAGATGCACATGCCCAAGTCAGCCTTCCCTAAGAGTGACACAAAACAATCTTTTATTAATATTACTTTAAACACATTACCATTGTGCATGATCTCAGAAGACCAAGTATGAAGAGCATATTATAGAAATCAAAGGAATAAATTAGTATGAGAGAAAAGACAATTTTATACCCTTCTAGAAATGTCTCCCCATCCTGTTATTCTGTAAAGAACTTTGTAAATGTAAATATTGTATGTAATTATTAGACAAATAAGTGAATGAATGCATAGAACCTTCCTCTGGGTTTTGTAGAAGAATACTGAAGGCATGCCGGGTGGTGGTAGCGTATCCCTTTAATCCCAGCACTTGGGAGGCAGAGGCAGGCAGACCTCAGTGAGGCAGAGGTCAACCTGGTCTAAAAAGTGAGTTCCAGGACAGCCAGGACTGTTACACTGAGAAACCTTGTCTTGAAAAACAAACAAACAAAAAATGCAGAAGGCAAAGAGCCATTGGTTTATATTTAAAAGTTCTCTCAGGCTCATGTTTTCTAGTGTTGAACAGTGGCCTCAAAGAAGCCATGATTTCCTCAGATAATCAAGCTGATAGCTGGCACTTCAGAGTGGGCATCTACAGAAAGATTCGGTGGTGATGGAAGTCTCTGTCCCAACAGGTTCCTGCAGCCATTTAATCCCAAATAAACACACAGAGGTTTATATTCATTATAAACTGTTTGGCTGATGGCTCAGGCTTCTTATTAGCTAGCTCTCTTTTAATTATTAACCCATTTCTATTAATCTGTGTATCTCCACATGGTCTTGGTTTACCGATGATACCTGGATCTCTTGCCTTCTCAGCAGCTCCATGGTGTCTCTCTGACTCTGCCTTTCTCTATCCCTTTTTGGATTTCCTGCCTGGCTATATCCTGCCTGTCCATTGGCTGAAACAGCTTATTCACCAACCAATAAGAGAAACATATTCACAGCATAGAGAATGATATTCCCCCATCATCTCTTTTCTGTCTGAATAAAAAGGAAGGTTTTAACTTTAACATAGTAAAATTACATATAATAAAACAGTTATCAAGCAAGAAATGTAGTTAACAATATTTAGTCCACTAACATTTGGCAAAATTTAAAGAAAATATTCTATCATCTATCCTATCTTTGTGAGTCTAAAGTTTTGTGTGTAACTTATCTTTTATCATAACTAAGAAAAACCATAACCATAACTGTCTTAAACTCCATCAAAGACCCTAGAAAGATAATATATAAACTCTAGAATTGACAGAGACATCTTGCTGCCTGGATAGTCACCCAAAATTCATCTATAATGTTGGGGCATCCCTCTTCAGACTATAGGCCAGAATGTCTGGCAGACTTTTTGATGAAGCAGGAACCTTGAAGGACCATATCTTTTATCATAACTAAGAAAAACCATAACCATAACTGTCTTAAACTCCATCAAAGACCCTAGAAAGATAATATATAAACTCTAGAATTGACAGAGACATCTTGCTGCCTGGATAGTCACCCAAAATTCATCTATAATGTTGGGGCATCCCTCTTCAGACTATAGGCCAGAATGTCTGGCAGACTTTTTGATGAAGCAGGAACCTTGAAGGACCATCCTGTCGCTTGGCAAATTCAGCAGTTACTTTTCTTTGTAACCTGCTTTTTCAGTTTTGACAGCATGCTGTCAAGCAGTCCAGGCAAGAACAATTTCTTGTTCAAATGGCTATCCTTGCCAGGTTGAAGTCAAACTCCATAACGAATTTCTTTGATGTCCATCTTCCTCTCTGATATAATTGGTGTTGCCAGAAGCAGTTGTATCTCATTATCAAGAAAAACCCTAATAAACCATTTTAAATGCCATATTCTGTAAGTCTTTGCAAGGTTTTGAAGAATACCTAACCATTTGAAATATATTTCTATATATCTATAAAACCTAACTAACATAACTATAAATTTTGACTATTATGTGTGACTATCTATAATCTGTATTTAATTATACACTACATTTTTAAATGTGCTGTATAAACATAATACCTAAAAAAGATAGAAATATACATATAACAAAATTGACCTTAAATTTGTATCAGTAAAACGAAATCCCTATCAATATAAAGTATTCATTTCTATATTATATTTCCTTTTTTTGCAAAGAGATTGACTGTGATAATTAACCATTTATAACCAACCCGATTTAAATGAAAGCAAACATTTATAAACAATATTTGGGAATGTGGGCGCAGTTCTCTCCAAACTGCTTCTTACTGTTTGGGAGCACTGTCAATCCCAAGGGGATCCTGAGAAAACCCAGGATCATGGCCAAATGCTGGCTGTAGTGGTCTGTGAGGCTGCCTGGTCTCAGCTCTTGTGGATGTTGGATAATCTGGGTCATTGTTTCATGGGATTCTGCTTGGTCAAACCGTACTAGTCTGGAAGGAATCCACAGCTTTTCATCTTCTGTGGAAACAAAAGCAGAACCTCTTTTCCAAGATAACATGTCCTTAGACTTAAAGTTTGAAGTCAAGGAATTTTCAAAATATATAGGTTGGATTAATTCAGCAGTATTTATAATCAAATGTCTTTTAGCAGCTGTTGTTCCTTCCTCAGCAGTCAAACAATTCAAAGACAATACAATAACATACAGTATCCAGACTCTGTGTATTTTACATCTTCACGTGGCTTTTCTTTTTACTCTATTTCTTTTATTTTTATCTTATTTTTTTTTGACACAGGGTTTTCCTGAACTCACTCTGTAGGCTACGCTAGCCTTGAACTCAGAGAGATCTGCCTGCCTCTGCCTCCCGAGTGCTGTGATTAAAGGCATGTGGAACCACACCTAGTAACTCAATTTCTTAAGGACTTTCTCTGTCCTTTTTCTTTTCTTTCCCAAGCCTATGTATATTTTTAAATACAGTGCAAACCTTTTAGAGGTTTTATTTTTCCTCTCTGAATCTATCTTTACTGTATATCTCTATATTTTTCTGACCACATGAGCCTTTAATCTGCTAAGCAGCATGGCTAGGATTAAAGATGAGGCTGGCTTCTCCCCATTCTTTGGCTTCCTGAAAGTCTAGCTTCATGTCTAGACATGGTGGGAGCCATGTTTATTGCCACAACTCTGCGGAGTTTCTAGGTTCATGCCACCACCAAGAAGCATGTCACTGGCTGCTCATAAACACCATTTAGATATTTGGTAGCAGGACTTCTTAAAAGAGCCGTGCAGTTTTTGCAGCTAACACTGAGTCAGGAGACCTCTCTTTAAGGGACTGTGTATCTGCTTGTCTCTAGCACACAGAGCCCACTGGAAAAAAAGCTGTGCTAATTCAAGATCTACTGGCTTTGTGGATGTGGTTGTGGTATGTAGTCTATGCAAAACTTTGTTTTGAAATGTGCATATTTTAGTCTTAGAACAAATTTTTAAGCCTATGTACTACATTGTTGTGTGAAGGTCAGAAGACAACTTGCAGGAATTGGTTCTCTCCTACCACGTGGGTCCTGAGCATTAAAATCAGGTAGTGAGACTTGCCAGCCAGCCTTTCTACTGGCTGAGCCCTCTCACTGGCTCAGTGGTTGTGGTTTTAACAAATGGGTACTTATAGGGTATGTCATAGTGGTTATGATGTGAGGTCATTTCTAGCATGCTCTCACCAGTGGGCATGAGTCACACATTGGACTCTTAGAGACCTGCAAGAAAACCCAAGGAGAGAGTGAGCTGATAGAACGCCATTGCCCTTGGGCTAGTATGGACCAGAATCTGTCCACAGCTGTTCTAAAAGAGACCCTCTGTTTTAGTTACTGTTCTATCGTTCTGAAGAGACACCATGGCAAAGGTAACTTAAAAAAAGAAAAGCATTTCATTGGAGGCTTGCTTACAGTTTCAGAGGCTTAGTCCATGATCTCAGCATGTAAGAAGCATGGCAAGCAGGCAGGCAGGCATGGTGCTGGAGCAGCTCTGAGAGCTTACATCCTGATGCAGCAGACAGCAGGCAGAGAAGTGAGACTGGGCCTTGATGAGGGATGTCCTTCTGTATATATGCTTCTCTTATTGGTTGATGAATAAAACATTGATTGTCCAGTATCTAGGCAAAAAGTATAGGTGGGGCTACCAGACCAGGAGAAGGCTGGAGAGAGGAAGGTAGAGAGAGGCCAAAAACAGACACCATGCTGCCAAAGGAGCAACATGCCAGATTATGGGTAAGTCACAGCCTCATGGCAATACATAGATTAATAGAAATGGGTTAATAACTAAGACAGAGCTAGCCAATAAGAAGCCCTAGCCACCGGCCAACAGTTTAATAATTAATATAGTGTCTGTGTGTTCATTCGGAGCAAAGTGGCCACAGTTCCTCCACAACTTCTTCAGTTCCTGTCTCCAGGATCATGCCCTGACTTCCTTCAGTGATGGACTTGAGATGTAGAATGTAATCTAAATAAATCCTTTCCTTTCTTCCCCAGATCATTCTTGGTCATGGTGTTTATCATGGCAACAAACCCTAAGACACTCAAGAAGGAGTGTCAAACATCAACTAGGAAGCCAATTACATGACAATGGTTCATTTTGAGAACTATAGAGATGAATCCTATTTACTCTGCATAAAGAGACTTTGTCACTGAAGATGAATTCCCTATGCTGCCAGCAGAGGTATCAGCACAACTCCCTTTTGCATACAAAACAAAGTTCATTGGAGCATTGATTAGATTAGATTAGTAGAATTTATTCTAGGTAACAGTTTAGAATGTTAATCACAGGAGAGAAAAGGATTACGGAAGCCTCATCAGCATCTGCTGGCAAGGCAGGAAGCAAGGCAGGACCATGCTTGAGCAGTACTCTTCCTGCTCAGTCTCCCTGGACTGAGGGGTGGATTGACTGATGGACTGGCTGAAATAGCTGCGACCTGTGTTTCACCTGCACAACTGACCGCTTCTGCACATCCAGCCGTTCTTCGGATCTTCCAGCCTTTGACCAAAAAGAGGCATAACAGCCTCCTCTTGATGGCATCAGAAATCCAAAAGATGGTAATGGAGTGTTACTTGGTCATAAAGAACAAAATCACGTCACCGGCAGGATGATAGGCAGAACTGGAGGCCATCATGAAATAAGCCAGATTCAGAAAGACAGATACCATATGTATTTTTCATTTTTATCTGGGATAGAAGAACTATCTGGGGAGGCAGGGATAAGTGGGAGGAGGGAATGGGGATGATGGAGACAATACAATCTCAAAGTTCATAGTATGTATGTAAGAAAATGTCACAGTGAACCCCATTATTTTGTTCAACTATAAATTTCATAAAAATTAATTTAAAGGTTCTCTTTAAAAGATTTAGCGTGTCATTAGGAAAACCTCCATTCCCTATTGGTTCAAACAGAAGCAAGGTTTAATGACATTACCACTCCACCCATTGTTCAACCCTCATGAGAAAAGCTTCTTCTTGCAGTAGGTGGGAATTAACACAGCCTCCCCACAACCAGACAATATGCAGAGAAAGAGAGGCTTTGAACACTGAGTCCTACCTAAATCAGAGGGCTTCATCAAGCCCCGCCCTTAAGGCTAAAGAATCTAAGTGGAAGAGAAGGCAGAAAGACTGTGAGAGTCAGTGGAGGTGGATGACCCCCAAGGAAACAGGCCTGACACACACATGAACTCACAGAGACTGTAGCCCCACACACAAGACCTGCATAGCTTCCAGCCAGAGGGAGAAGTGAACGCAGGATCCCACCCCTAGCCAGGGAGCTATCTGCAGCTGATACGTGCTTCGAAAGGGAAATTCAGTTCTCTCCAATGGCATGCCACTGGCTACATCACACTGGTTGATGCCACATTCTAGGCCAGGCCCCATTCTCAGAAGTAGTTGGGCAACACAAGACAAACTCCATATTTTTTTGTATTTTTGTTGGTGGTGGTGGTGGTGGGGGGGGGTTTTGTTTGTTTTGTCTTACTGCTTTGTTTGTATGTTTGCTTTGGTTATCTGGGTTTTTTTTCTTCTTCTTCTTCTTTCTGTTCTTTGAGAGAGAAAGAGCATCGAGTTGGGTAGATAGGGGCGTAAGGTAAATCTAGGAGAATCTGGGGGAGGGGAAAAGAAAAGAATATGATCAAAATACATTGTATGAAAATGAATTCTAACAAACAACTTTTAAAAGACCATGTTTATAAACTAGGCTGCCTCTTTTAATTTCTGCATCTGGATAAGACATAAGTTTGTGATACAAATTCTTAAGAATCAACTATGTAAACTAGGACATTCAGTAGTAAAATGGATGCATTTGGTTGACCAAACAGGTTCCCAAGTTCACTGAGACAAAAACACTGACCCCAAAGAAAGGACTTGGGCTTAAGCCCCAGGCTAGTCATGAGTCGTGAGTAACCTTGGGCATGATGATTCCACTTCCTGGAATGTGCTCACTTCTCTATAAAGTGAGGAGGTGATGTTTATTTCAGGCTCTTCACACAAATTTTTTGTGACAATGAAAATGGCAGTGTGTGTGGAAGTGCTGTGAAAAGGAAGAGGCCTGCCAGGAAGATGGGGTCCTCACTGACTTCTAGAGCTAATCACTGTGCCATGCAGAGCCCATTGTTACTGCTGTGTTCATGATCCACTGACAGGGTATGTCCTATGAGCCTATGTCCTTGGTGAAAGACATTTCTCAGAAAGAATTTCAAGCCCCTTTCCCATGTCATTGCCTGTGCTCTGAAAAAGAAAAAAAAATGTCACTCAAGGATGGGTGTAATGGGACACACATAATCCTAGCACTAGTAAGGCTGAGGCAGGAAGATGTAAGTTCTAGGTCAGCCTGGGCTACCTAGAGAGTAGGTATCTCAAAATGAAAACAAAGCAAATGTGTTTCAAAATTCCTAAACAAAAAAGAAAAGATAAAGAAGGAAGATTATAAAGACCTCCCTTTTAAGTTGCCCTGTTTTTGTCAAGTGGTTTGTGTGTGTGTGTGTGTGTGTGTGTGAGAGAGAGAGAGAGAGAAGAGAGAGAGAGAGAGAGAGAGAGAGAGAGAGAGAGAGAGAGAGAGAGATGGCCACAGCCTCAACCCCTGAATTCTCTAAGCAGCAATAATTATTTAAGCAGCATGTACTCTAGTTGGCTATTGGGTATTTTATTTAATCCTCACAAGAATATGAAATTATATTAGTGCACCAAATTAAAGGGTTAGACAACTGAATCTTAGGGATTTCCTGAGGTTACAGAGTGACGTGGTGATTGCCAGAGATGACATGCCCTCTGGCCTCTCAGTACCATCACATCTTTCCTGAGAAGTCGCTCAATTATTGTTTTGTGTACACTCTGCCTTTGAGACAGATGATCATAGTACACAGAAATATGTCTGCACTGACCTGGATGTCATCTGGTGGTTTATCATTGCACCATTCTAAATGCTTCAGCTCCCTTGCTGGTGCTGAGCTGGGGAGGAGATGGTCTTGCGCTAGGGGTACACCCTAACCCACAGTCACTGTCTTGTGGGGCTTTCCAGGAACTACAGCTTCCTTCTGTGTTATGTTGATGTTCTTAGCATTAGATCTATTCTTCAAACAATACAAAGTAACAAAAATTTCCTTCTTGTTCACAAAAAGAGTCACCAAGGATTCCCTTTCATTTTGCTCATTCATTCAGTGAAAATGTAAGTATTGATTAGGCCCCTGCTGGGAGGCAGCTTCTGTCTAGCCGTTCTAAAGGTACGTTGCATCGTTAACCCTCTGTTTAATCGCAGCTTCTCCGGATACAATAGGGAGCATCTACTGTGGATATGCATTATTTTTCAGTTGTCCACTGAAAAACAACATCAGGACAAAAGATGCGCTTAGTGTACATGCATGTACCTCACCGTGGTCAACAATCTGGGTCTATTCCCACATCAGACATTTGTAAAGATGTTTGAGCTTAGGCCAGGCTAGGCTCTGGGATAGAGCCTTTACAAAGCCTCCTGGGCCAGAACTGAGGTGCACGAACAGAAGTGGAGGCAGGAAGAAAGGCTGCAGGGGCAACCCAAAGGCTGAGAGAATGCTAGCAGCAGTCATTACCAAATGTGCTTCTGGTGGTTTCTGTGCAATCAGATGAGTGGTGCTGCTCTAGCTGCAACAGTTCTGGGTTTGAAGGCCTTCTCGGTGAGGAGTGGAGATTTTGTGAAGTGGATGGTTTCCGAACTCTGCTGTACCCCACAGCAAACAACAGCTCTGAGTCTGTGATGGGAAGTAGGTGTGCATTTGCTTGATCTTCTTCGAGTAAGGTTGGATGGTGTGCATGAAGGAAAGATCACCTGAATGCAATCGTCTCATCTGTTGAAAGTGATTCAAACCCAGTGGTTGAGTGATTCGATTCTCAGATTCAATGACACATTAGAAAGATCACATACTGTGATCCATGAAGTGGCTTCACCCCAGTAAAAAAGAATGGTTCAACATACGCAAACCAATAAATTCAATAAGTACATAAATAGACTCAAGGGCAGAAATCACAAATCCACTTCAATTGTTAATCCCAAAGATGGGAGGAGAAAGGCCATTGACCCAAATCATCATGACCAAATTAATTAAAGCAAGCAATTAATAAAAGCAAGGTTTTTTTTTTATTTCTGTACACATGCTGCCTCCCCCTAAAGTAGGGTTCCAGAGGTCAGCTTTAGATGTGAGGAAGACAAGGTTTTTATAGCTCAGTTGTAGGGGGTTTCCAAATGCAGGGGGGAATTGGTGGGGGTTACAGGAGGAGAACCTAACATGATAAAAAAACAGGATATCACAACATGGTAATTATAGAGGGTCATACGACTTTTTGAAACAAAGATAGGGTTGCAAGATGGTTATAAACAACTTTTTGAAGCAAAGATATACTTACCATTCCTGGAACAGACAGTAGAGAACCATTTGTGGGTAAGGTTACAGGTGGGGTTTAGCCCAATCCTTGAGAAACAGAGGCTTCATCATAAATAGGGAGGAACCTACTTTGTCTTTACTATAAGACAGCTTTTAAGCTTAAAATGGAGGCAGCAAGGTTTTTCACAATAGACACTGAAAATGCCTTCCACAAAGTTCAATATCTTTTTATAAGATAGACCCTGAAGAAACTAGGCATAGAAGGAACAATCTTCAACATAATAAAAGCTGGCATAGGCATTCTGGTGCTATATGACAGTACAATGTCACCTAGAGCTGACATTATGCTAAGATGAAAAAACTCAGTGTTCCTTCTAAAATTAGGTATGGGACACAGGGGACCACTTTTTCTGGCCTTATTCTGTATAGGGCTTGAACTCTTAATCAGAAAGAAGAAAGACAAAGAAATCCAAATAGGAAAGAAAGAAGTTAAACTACCATGGTGTGCTGAGCCACAATCCTGTACTTAAAACCTTACCACCACCCAAAGCACTTAGACCTGACAAACAGAGGAGAAGGATACAAAGTCAACACAGAAAACCCAGTTGCTTTTCTGTGCAACAATCATGATCATGCTGAGAAAGAAATCAGGAAGAGTCCCATTCACAATGCCCCTCAAAAAACAGCAAAAGAAACCAACAAAAACCAGTATGGTGAAAGTGGCTATATTACCAAAAGCAACCTACAGGTTTTAAGCAGTCCTCATCAAAATTTCATTGGTATTCCTCAAGGAATGAAAAAAACAATCTTAAAAATTATGTAGAAGCAGAAAAAACCATGAAGAGCCAAAGTGATCCCAAGCAAGAAGAATGATGCTGGAGGCATTGTGCACCTGACTTTAGATTATACTACAGAGCCATAGTAACAAAAACAGCCCAGCACTGGCACAAAAGCAGACATACAGAGCAATGGAATATAAACAGAAACCTTTAAATGCATCCACGATGTTTCAACTACCTGCTTTTTGGCAAAGATGACTAAAACATACGTTGGAGAAATATCAACTTTGACAAACGATGCTTCCACATGTAAAGAATTAAACTGAGCCCTAATCTCTCACTTTGCACAAAAGAAGATCAAATGGATCAAAGACCTTTAACGTAAAATCTGTACACTGAAACTGCTAGGGGAAAACAGAGGAGACACTGGGAGAGAATGAGCAGGGGCTTCCCAAGAAGTATAGCCCCCGCCCCAGCAAATCAAGTAGCAAGTGGGATTTGTGGAAGAAGAGGCTTCTTTGAAGCAGCTGATGAGTAAAGACAGACTCCAGTGTGGGAAAGTCTCCGTCAGCTATGCCTGTGATCCGGGCTTAGCATTCACACTGTGTAAAGAACTCAGAAAGTGAAACCCCAAACCTCACCTCCCAGCATCCATAAACGAGCACATGAATTGAATAGACACTCCTCCAGTAGTCATTATGAAAAATGTTGAACATCCTTAGCCATCAAGGAAATACCAATCAAAACTGCTTTGTAGTTCCCTCTCACCCCAGAATGGCCATCATTAAGAAAACAATAGCAACTGCTGTTTGGGATGGGGGTGGGGACAGGAAACATTACACACAGCAAGCGGGATTGAAAACTGGTCCATCCACTGTGAACATCAGTATGAAGGAGCCTCAGAAACATAAAACAAGAACTACCACATGACCCAGATTACCCCTGGGAATATACCCAATGGAGTCCAAGCCAGCCAATTACAGACACCCTGCTTATCCATGTTATCCTGGGGCACTGTTTATAAAAGCCAAGTTAAGGGATCAGCCTAGATGCCCAATAACAGATGAGTAAGTTTTAAAAACATGTGGTTTTACTCAGCCAGAAAGAAGAACAAAACCGTGCCATTTGCAGTAAAATAGATAGAATTAAAGTCCTTGTATTAAGCAAAATGCAAAATAAGCCACACTCAGAAAAACAGATATTGCATGCTTTCTCTCCTACGCAGAACCAAGTTTACTATCAAGTAGATATAAAGATATAGGTAGTCATAGCTACAGATCATGTAGGCTTATATATGACATGAGACGAGAAGGTATTAACAGGCGGAGAGGAGGCCAGAAGAGAATAACAAGATGAGTGTACTCAAAGTATTTGACATACACGGCTGAAAACATCATTATGAAACACATTGCCTTGAAAATGAATGCATTCTACAAATGTTCTTTTAAATTCTGCCATGATTCCATTATGCATCCCTGTGCAAATGGCCCATCTTTCTACACCTTAGTTTATTCTCATCTATAACAAGGAAGATTGATGGGTTTCTGTATAGGAAACTGGCTATAGTCGTTAAATTAGTTACTACAAGACAGCTCTTATGGCAGGAGCGCATGCGCATTGCCTGAACACCAACTGTTGTTAACTCTTCTCCCTGAGAAGGCAAAATTCCTTTAAGATGTGAAAATAAGATACAAAGAGAGTAGGAGGTTTCCTTCTCATCACTAAGCCTGTTTTAGTGACATTCAAATTTGATGTCCAGATAAAAATGGCAGATCATACACACCTGTGTCCCTGCACTCCAGTCCAAGACCATTAAAAGGGTAAGTTTGGTGGTTTTGTTTTTGTTTTTGTTTTTGTTTTTTGTTTTTGTTTTTGTTTTTTGTTTTTTACTTTTCGAGACAGTTTCTCTTTGTAGCCCTGACTGTCCTGGAACTGACAGAGACCAACCTGCTTCTGCCTGCTGAGTGCTGGGATTTAAAGGCATGTGGGACGGTGCTCAGCTGTTTTTTGTTTTACTGAGGTATGTTCTCATACAGTCAATGCTGGCCTCAAAATATACTGTGTCTTTGACTTTGAATGCCTAGTCACCCTCCTGTATCTACTTCCTAAGTGCTGGAATTACAGGCCTACAACTCAGGCATAGCTGGTTTTGTTTGCTTTTTGAGACAAAGTTTTACAATGCAGCCTAAAGCTCAAACACAAAACCATCTTCCTGTCTCTGCCTCCTGTGGGGGGAGGGGGTTATGGTGTGTGTGTGTGTGTGTGATTACAGGCAGGTACCACCAAGCCAGCTTTTCTATTTTTTTAATTACCAACGTGATGTTCTCTCACTATCCTGGAGTTTGCTGAATGGGTGAGACTGGCTGGCCAGTGAACTCCAGGGACCCAGCTGTCCCCACCTCTTCAGCACCCAGGTTGTAAGCGTTCACCATCATGCTTAGACTTTTTGTTTGAGTTGTGGGGACCAAACTTGGGTCCTCAGGCTTGCACACCACGGTCTCCTCAGCCCTATGCTCCATTACTTTTAATTGCTCTGCACAATGTTTACCTGTTCGTGACATCTGTCAGGAGGAACAGGAAGCAGAGCATGACCAGGAGGGAAGGCCTGGCGACCTGCTGCTGCTCTGTAGGAGACACAGAGCCAAATCATAGTATTTGAAAATAGACTTTGATCAAATCAGATGGGGTGGTGAAGCCCAAATCAACTATTACATATACATGATAATCCAGTAGTAGAAATAACGCTGACTCATACAAACTCAATTATTTAAAAAGAGACAAAAATGTAAAAGTGGGAATAGAAATGAAGAGGGGTAGGAAGACACACCATGCAGACACAAATCAGAGGGAAGGTGGCAGCTTTATTAACATCAACATAGACCTCAGATAAGAAGTATTGCCACTGATAAAGAGGGCTATTACATTGTGATAAAGGGCTCTACTCTCCAAGAAGACAAAGCGATGAATGATTTTATGTCTATAAATTCAACATCTTATCACAAGTGGATACATTTATTGAGCAACATATCTTAACAAAATTAGAAGAGAAAACAGAAAAAGTCAGAGGACCTTTATCTAATCTCAAAATTGAATTCATGATTTAAAATCCTTCAACAAAGAAAAACCCAAGTTCAAATGGATTTATTGGTTAGTTCTACAAAGAGCTCTCTCTCATCTCTCTCTCTCTCTCTCTCTCTCTCTCTCTCTCTCTCTCTCTCTCTCTCTCTCTCTCTCTGTGTGTGTGTGTGTGTGTGTGTGTGTGTGTGTGTATGTGTGTGTTATATGGACATGTATGAGGTGCCCATGTGTGCATGGAGGCCAGAGGAGAAGATCTGGTAATCTGCTTTATCCCTTTTTACCATATTCTTCTGAGAAAGGATCTCTCAAGACACAGTGACCATCCTGTCTGTCCCACACAAGTGCTGGGGTTATGGGCGTTCATGATCATGCCTAGGTTTTTACAAGGGTTCTGAGGATTTGAACTCAGATCCTTGTGTTTAAGAAGCAAGCGCCTTTACTCTCCAGTCCTAGTAGTTCTACCACAGGTTTAAGGAAAAACAAACTCAAGTCTTCTGAAAACAGAGGGAGCACTTTGCAAGCTGTTGTTTGAGAGTAGAGCATCCCTGCTAGCAGAGCCTGACTAGGGTTGGAGGTGAAGCCTGGTGCAGCCATGTGCTTGCAAGATCC